ATAAGGAATTAAAAGCTATCAATTTTCTTATAAGCACTTCTTTAGTTGCATTATGCAAGTATGTTATTTCCATTCTCATTCAGATCAAAATAGTTTTAAGTTGCCCTTATAAATTCTCCTTTAACTCATGAGTTATTTACACATGTGGTTTATTTTCAAAATATCTGAGTATTTCTCAAGGGGCGCCTGGCTGGCTCAGTCAGAAGAGCAAGCAACTCTTAATGAGTTGTAAGTTCAAGAAATGTTGGGTGTAGAGATTACTTAAAAAAAAAAAAAAAAATTGGAGGATTTCTCAGATATCTTTCTGTTACTGATTTCTATTTTATTCCATTTAGGTCAGACTTAAATTCCATTTGGATTTCTACAATGGAATTCCATTAATTGCATTTGGTCAGATTAAATTTTCAATCATTTGTGGGACCATACTGAGGCCTGAGGTCAGGGACATTAAGGCAGGCATTGTCAGCAAGGTGAGAGTATTAAGTTATATCAAGCCCACAGCATTTCTCTGACAATTGCTGATCCTTCATCTTCTTCATAAACATGTCCTGAGTGTAGACTTAAGGTCAAAAGTATGGGTTCAAATTCAAGTGAGATTCTTCTCTTCTACCCTTTCTCTCTCTCTTCCTCCTACCATCTTATTCTTTTTCCTTACCAGGGCTCTTGACCTTTGGAGAAGTGGGACTGAAGGTCATGCTTCCAAGAACCCCAATTTCTCCCCTCCCCTCTCCTCTAATTTCCTCCCGACCAAATCTTAGAGAACAGTCACTAGAGAGAGAAAGTGGGAGCAACAGAAATGAAAAGGAAGAACCACAGTACCTTTTATGTCTTAATCGTTAAGGTCACACACTGTCTCTTGTCACTTCTGCTATATTCCATTTGTTAGAAGTGAGTCATTAAGTACAGCACATGCCTCTTGAAGAGAGGAGTATCAAAGAATTTGTGGACACATTTTATACCACCAGAACAATCTCATAGTTTTTACTTTAAATAGTCATATATCTTTTTAAAAGTAATTAAGAGAAGGAAAGGAAATATGTATAGTCATTTATTTTTATACACAGTTATTATTTCTATGATAATAGAAATAATTAATGAATCAGCAAACTAAGCCCCTGGGCCAAATCAAACCCACGGCCTGTTTTTGTATGGCCTGAACACAAAGAATGGCTTTTACATCTTTTAAATGGTTGAGGGGGGAAAAAAAAAATCAATGGAAGAATGTTTTTGTGACATGTGAAAATTATATGAAATTTAAATTTCAGTGTCCATTATAAAGTTTTATTGGAACACAACCATGCTTATTTATTTATGTATTGTCTATGGCTCCTTTCACAGTAGAACTGAGATGTTTCAACAAAGACCATAAGACCCACAAAGCCTAAAATATTTAATATCTGGCCTTTTGCAGAAAAGTATACCAACACACTTACTATTCATCCAAGTTATTATCTGATGGTAACTTTAGCCTTCAGCTTAAAGAACTTACATTATCAGGATGCCTGGGTGGCTCAGTTGGTTAAGCATCCGAATCTTGATTTCAGCCCAGGTCCTGATCTCAGGGTCATGAGATTGAGCCCCATGTTGGGCTCAGTGCTGAGTGTGGAGCCTGCTTAAGAGTCTCTCTTTCTCTCTCTCCCTCCTTCCCCTCCCCCCCACTGCTCACACACCTTCTCTCTCTCTAAAAAAAAATTAAATAAATAAAAAAATAAAGTTGAACTTTCTGATTAAAAAAAATTTTCCATTATCATTTCTCGTAGAATATATATTATGGTGACAAATTCTCTCAGATTCCTCTTATCTGAAAACATCTTTATCTCAGGTTCATTTTTTTTTTTAAGATTTTATTTATTTATTTGAGAGAGAGAATGAGATAGAGAGAGCATGAGAGGGGGGAGGGTCAGAGGGAGAAGCAGACTCCCTGCTGAGCAGGGAACCCGATGCGGGACTCGATCCTGGGACTCCAGGATCCTGACCTGAGCCGAACTGAGCCACCCAGGCACCCCTCAGGTTCATTTTTAAAGAATATTTTGCTAATAGTTAGACTGTGGAAAATACATTGTAGCAACACTAAATTCTGTTACATTTTTCTGAAAACTGTTGATTTTTCTTCTAACAGGTAGTTAACGGTCTAGACCCAAACTAAAAATATAGAAATTTTGCCTGAAAGTTGGGTTTTGTTGGGGGGGTGTTTTGTTTGTTTGGGGGGGGGCAATATTTTAATATGATTTTTGGATATCTTTCTGTCTCCACTGCTTTAATAAGTCAGGTGTTAATCATATCATTATCCCCTTGTATTTAATGTGCCATATTTTCTCTTGGCTGCTTTCAAGATTTTCTCTTTATCTTTGACATTTGGCAAATAATGTGCCTAATAATGGTTTTCTTTTTTATTTATTCTACTTGGAAGTCACTAAACTTCTTGGGATCTCTAGGTCAGTTTTGTTTTTTCTTTTTAACCAAACATGAAATGTTTTTGCCACTATTTCTTCAAATATTTATTCTGCCTCTTTCTCTCTCCCCTCTATTTATGGGACTAAGATAGCAAGACTTCAGTTTTTCTCCCACAGGAGCTATGGAGCCCTCTGTCAAAAAAGCAGCAAACTTGCAAATCTCACCTACTGCAGTTGTAGCTTTCAAAGGTCATCTCCTATTTGGTTTGCATTGCTTTGTTGACCAGCTTCCCTTCGTACTCACAGCTGTCATCCAGGTATGGTTGGCAGAATTTATACTCTAACATGGGGTTTTAGCCCTTTGGCAGCTTACTCATCAGTTCCAGGATTTTCCTCCTAAATTCCAAGTTGTTTTGCCAATCCTCAACTTTGTTCTCTGATACCTCAAGTCAGTATGGTTGTAGTCTGCTGTCTCTGGGGCTATGAGAGTTGGGGAGCACCTTGTTTAAAAAGCCACAGATTCACAATTCTTATCCACTACTTAACTTACTTCAAAGAATAAACTCTCCTCTGGTTTCTGCTTCTTTTTGGTCTTTCAGTGTTTTTTTGTGTTGTGTGTGGTTTTTTTTGTGTTTTTTGCTTTGTCTTTTTCCAGTGCTTTCAAATCATTTTGTTATTTTTAAATTTTCTCCAGGTTTTATCATTGTTACCTGTGGAAGGGTTCATTCCCCTTGCCAATTATTCATTACCTAAAGCTGGTAGTCCCCTGTTTTTTTAAAAACTGTCTCCTAGACTTGAATTTGTAATTTTATTTTTTTTTTATTTTTATTTTTTTTAAAGATTTTATTTATTTATTTGAGAGAGAGAGAATGAGAGACAGAGAACATGAGAGGGAGGAGGGTCAGAGGGAGAAGCAGACTCCCTGCCGAGCTGGGAGCCCGATGCGGGACTCGATCCCGGGACTCCAGGATCATGACCTGAGCCGAAGGCAGTCGCTTAACCGACTGAGCCACCCAGGCGCCCCTTGAATTTGTAATTTTATATATTATAAAATTCTAATTACTGGTAGTACTATAATAGAAAATGGAATAAACTACCTAAGATAATGGAAAAGCTCCAACTTCCATAAATTTGCATGTAAATACAAATATATAATTTCCTCATGCAGCCTGTGCTGTACGTGGTGGTGCCCTCCTATTCTGAACCCATATCTACTAAGCTGGAATGCACTGAGGGTCATGAAAATCAACAAAACAAACTACTTGCAACTATTTAAAAATTCAAAACAATTAATTTAAACTCCCAAAAAAGATTTGTAGGCTGTTTTAAATAATGTCCCATGGATTAAAAGATTTAGAAAAGGAAGATAGGTAATTGAAATGAAGACTTATTGTATACCTTTTAGAAACAACAGTAATAATTAATAGTAACACTTAAGGATAGTCTTTTTAAAATGAAATACTTACCGTTGTTCTTTCTAAAATGAGAAAACATTTTTAATAGTATTTTTCAAAATGTATTACACATTTTCTTATACCAAAACAGCCAAAGAAGAACTGAAGAACCCACAACATTGCTTTTAGAAATTCTACTTACATTCTCCTTTCACTGATAACTGGATTCTAAAATTTCATGGAATTTCAATCACAAACTGAAATTAATAAAGTAAATCTGTGGTGATTTGTAAAAAGCTCAGAATATATAAGTAATTTAAGTCCATTATATGCAAATTGCTGAGTTAGGCTTTGAGTATTCTACAGGATCTCTTTATTCTCACTATAGCAATAGCCAAATAACTATAATCCCACAATAGGCAAAAGAATCCATTTTCATTCAGAATGAGTATAACAAATAGAAAGGAGGAAATGGAGACCAAGGGCATCTTTTCACACCAATTTTATAAAAAAAATAAAAAAATAAAAAAAGAATATCCACCATGATTCTCATTCTTCCTTAAGCCAAAACATTAATGTGGTGGCTTTGATCTAAACCAGACACAGAAAGGTCTGATAGAAATGCAATCAAACAAAATGGATTAAATAATGATACACAAAAGCAACACTGCTGATGCTGAAATTCAAGCATAAGCAAGCATAAAAATCAGCCAAAACAGAAAGGGGCAGAGGAAACTTTTGGCAGTATTGGGTATGGTAATTAACTAGATTGTGCTAATGATTCACAAGTGCATATATATGTCAAAACTTACCAAACTCTATGCTTTTGCATGCAATTTTACCTCAATTAGGTTTCAATAAAGCTTTTTTTAAAAATTAGCAGGAAAAAACATCATTACTCATTTTCAACCATCATTCAGCTACTTTAAAGACAAAACTGAAAACCAATTCAGATTCTAAAACCAAGTATAATTAACAACTCAAGGATCACAGGCAAATAGTCATCCAGATTCAAAGAAGAAGTATATCAACTTTTTCAAAAGAAAGAAGAAATAAAGTCTCAATCAATGGAAGTATCCTGAGACTGGTCAAAGGATTATGGAGGTCACACTGCCTATGCAATTTATGTCCCACCCTGGTGCAGAATGCTCCTGGTTTCCATTTCCAAACAGATATGTGATGACACAGAGTTTATCAGGATTTGAAGCCTTACTGTACTTCTCTTCCTTGCACCTCTGCAGAATCTCTAAGCTCCTCTGGTGGACTGGGTGTTGGAGAAAGCTAAAACTATCCATACTTTTCAAAATTGCACATGGCGCTGTATCATCATGTCCTTAGGAAGCAAAAGAAAAACAAAAAAATGGAGAAAAGAAAAAGATATTATATAAGCCCAAACAGAGAATCAAGGACAATGCTGCCAACTATCTTAAGAATATATAAAAATATATCAAGTAATATGGGTTAAATGTGAATAAATTTTCTAAACTGACGTGAGGAAATTACCCAAAAATAAAAGGAAAATATAAAGGTCTTTTTTTAGATATTCCAAGTATCCCTTTCAGTACGGAAAGTGCTGAGTTAATATTATACTAAAAAATTCTAATTTAAAATATATGGGAAATTTCAAAACAATTTGTATGTTTATTTTTTTTAACAGACCCATTTTTATCAGGTCTGAAAAATAATTAGCATATAGTTGGCAACAATGCAAGGAACAATGATGGAACCCCAAAGAGAAATATACCCAAAACAATTTGCCAAAAGTTAAATAATTCCTTCACAAATCTTGCAATCAACCACACTTGTAGAATTCCAACAAGTGTGTCAATGTTTAAAGAGCAGGAAGAAAAGCACCATAGAGCAGGAAAACCCAGCAGCACTTTGGTATTTATAAATCTGAAAAGAAAGTTGGAAAATGTACCTCACCACCACTTAGTCAAGTGAGACAGAATCAACTACTTGTTGGAAAGGGAAGAGAGCATGTTCAAGTAAGGACCAAAGCCCCAAATTAGTGTTACTGAAACAGTGAGTCACTCTAACAATAAAGGGGGTTGGGGGGAGGTCAGTACCATTAATATTAGCAACAGATGGATTTAAAAGAGAATAGGCATCTCCAGGTTGGGGTGGGGGAGGGTGTTGACTATCATTTACTCAAAGAACATCTCTAGAGTTAGGACATTTAGTTCAAATTGGTGTAGGTTTGCCTTTTAAAAAACAAAAGGGAACAGTTTAACAATAGATAGAGACAAAGTAAGCAACACAATGAATAAAGTTTCATTAGTGCATATTTACTGTATAATTAGGAATGAGATACTATCCATGAACAGTTCTCAATGCAGAATCATTTAAAAAGTTAAATAGAGGCAGAGTAGTTCAAAGAGGTTTGCAAAGCAGGGTTTAGTCTAACTATAATTCCTTAAACTAGATTACTGGATTCAGAGAGCAAGCATCCACATTTTATCTAGGAGATGGAATCTTATATCAGATAATAATATACTTAGATTTGAAAATTATTTTCATATCCAATAATGAAAAAGTAAACTAATAAAACACTATCTCATTCATCCAATGTGGAGAGCCCATAGCTGCAAATGTTCAATGTTTCAAAAAGAGACAAATATCAAGTTACCCATCATTTCTTAGTTGAAGAATACCTCAGTAAAAATATTCTATGTCCATTATCAATAATCCTCCCCACCACTTTTGATAGGCTGCTTGAAGAAAGAACGCTTAGGCTCAGACTAGCCTATATACTTGGTTAGTTGGTGGTGCTGGAAGGTAGATATCAGTTGAGGGGGACCATTTGAGGGGGGAAAAAAAATGCCTGTAAAGTTCTATTTCTACTCTAACCAAACTGTCATTTTAAAAAGTTATCACTAGACTTTCAGGCTATCTTGATAATCTGCCAGTCAGAAATAATTTTAAGGAGATTATGGTATTAAAGTATTTTATGTAAAAGTTCAGGATATTAAATATACTAAATTAGTAAGCAGTTTGAAGAAATCACTTGACATTACTACAGCCACTGTACTCTTTTATCTAATAAATTGTGGCAATGACGTTTGGATATGGGTAATTTTGTATTTGTGACTGTTTTATGTCTCACCATCACACCTATCTTATTTTTTTTAACTTCTCTCATTCTGCTTTCTACACCTTCTTTTAACTCTTTATTATTTTAGACTAAAATACTATTTCCAAACCTTAAATTGATCTTCCTCTCATTTGCTTAACAATGCCCTGTTAAGGTGGTTAGGTTTCCTAGCATGGTTTATAAGTACATTTTCAGGGACAGTTATTGTCTAAGGAGTCTCATAAACTCTTAAAACATGTTTATTTAGTGTTGGTTTATGCTAGTCCCTGGTCTAGTTTTGTTAATTTCTTTTTTTTTTTTTTTTAAAGATTTTATTTATTTATTTGAGAGAGTGAGACAGAGAAAGAGCACAAGAGGGGGGAGCGGGAGATGGAGAAGCAGACTCCCCGCCGAGCAGGGAGCCCGACGCGGGACTCAATTCCGGGACTCCAGGATCATGACCTGAGCCGAAGGCAGTCGCTTAACCAACTGAGCCACCCAGGTGCCCTAGTTTTGTTAATTTCTTACCTTGAGATTATGCACCAAAATACAACGTAAGTTCAGACCCCATATGTATGCATGGTAAACATATGGGGCACTGATTTTTTTAAAGGTAGTTTAAGAAAAACCTTATCTAAGGCCTAACACAGATTGCTAAGGTCCTTCTTATTTCTCTGTTCAAGGCCAACGGACAGAATTTTTCAATCATCTTTTCAGTGACAGAAAAGTCCAAGCTCTTTGAAGATACTACACCACATAACGGAACTCAATCCTAGTTGATCATTCAAACCTGAAGCCATGTCTCTGATCCTAAAGCAGCTTCTGTAATGCCAGCTTCCAGGCCTCATGGCCATTAAAGGTATATCTCAAACACAGTAACCCACCAATCTCAAGTATAAATTTGATGATCTTAAAAAATATTTACATCCATCTAATCCTCAATCAAGATATAGAACATTTCCATTATCTCAGCAAGTTATTTCATCCCCTTCCTATCAATACCACCCTTGCCTTTGCAGAAGCAATCAAGTTATGATTTCATCACTATATATTATTTTGCCTGTTCTTAAACTAAATGAAAGCATGCACTATATGTATCCTTTCATGTCTGGCTTTTTTGCTCAATATTTTTTTGTGACTCATTATGATACTCATTACGAGAATCAGTAATTTGTTCTTTTTTACTGCAGAATAATGTTACATGGTAGGAATGTATCACAACTTGGTTATCTTTTCTTCCACTGATAGATTTTTGGGTGTTTCCAACTGGGGGCTATTAAGAATAAAGACACTATGAACATTCTTTTTTTGTGTTTTGTGTATAATAGTTCCGTTGAAATATAAACCACATACTATACAATTCACCTAATTAAAGTGTACAATTCAATGGTTTTTGAACCATCACCACAATCAATTTTAGAATACCTTCAATATACCCAAAAAAAACCCCATCCTTTTTAATTATCCTTTCCCTCATCTCCCAGCTTGCCTACTCCAGCCCTAGGCAAAAACTAATCTACATTCTACCTCTACAGATTTGCCTATTCTAGACATTTCATAAATGCAATCATACATTTGTTATTTGTGATACATGCTTAATGTGGCCTTTTGTGCCTGATTTCTTTCAGTTAACAAAATGCTTTCAAGGTTCATCCATGTTGTAGCATGTACTAATATTTCATTCCTTTATACGGCAAAATTACATTCCACTGTATGAGTATACCACATTTTGCTTATCCATTCAATAGCTGAGGGACATTTAGGTTGGGGGTTATTGGTTTGTGGTTTTCATTTTTGTGATGTCTTGTCTGGTATCCAGGTAATATAGGCCTCACAGAATGAGAATTAAAGTATTCCCTTATCTTATTCTTTGGAAGAGTTTATAAAGTTTTTGCATTTTAATTCTTCTTTAAGTTTTTGATAGGATTCATCCGTGAATTCACTGTTCCTTGGCTTTGCTTTGTGGAAGCTTTTTTTTGTTACTAATTCAGTCTCTTTTGTTATAGGCCTATTCACATTTTCTATTTCTTCTGGAGTCACTGTTGG